ACATGTCTTGTTTCTACAACCTTCTTTCTAGAGCAATCTCCATTTTGTTTATTCCTGACTTGGACTGGACCCTGATGAAGATTTTTCTTTCAACAGAGGTTAGAATACTTCAAAAATATATTTCTCATCTGAAGTGTGCATGCAAGTAATTGTTGTATTTCAATTATTCAAGCAAAAAGACCGGATGGCTCAAGCTGAAGAGGTGCTCCCATCAAAGCTCAAAATCTGCCTCTGATCTTGAGACTGGCAAATAGCCACTAGGATTAAAATCTCCTTCTAAAGCTACCTGAAATGCTGCATCATGTGGAGAAAAATTCTGCCTGTTTTAGAATGGGTCTTTTGTGTATAGCCAGAGACAACACTGTGGACCAATAACAGCTAAGAAATGAACTCCATTAAAACAATAGGGCCTACTATCCTCTGAAAAATTAAGCACAATTTTAACTCTTAGATCAATCTTCTGCTAAATTAATAAAAAGGCAAAGAAAAATGGGCTTTCAAAAATAAGAACTATTCAAGTAAACTTTCTCAAATTAACATGGGATTTATTGGCTTTGGTGCACCTTATGCCTGGCAAACATGAACATGTCTTATCAGCTCTTATATTATCACAAATAGCTCTGTGCTGAGAACATGCCAGGAAGAGATTAATATATCTATAACAACATATCATACAGATGAGATAGTTGTAATTTAATGTTGTTTTTATCCCCAAACGAGATTTAGTGGCTAAACCGCAACAATTAGCAGTTCCTGCTCTAAACTGATTATGTCTAAATTGTTATAGCTACAGGGCAAGTGAAGCACATGGCAACAGAAAGCAGAAAGCTGGGCCAACAAATGGGAGAATTAGTAGCTGGTTATGGATGCCTTATCCACACAGCTCAGTTTACTGCCATAATGACGAAGGAAATGTTCTTGAAGTGTGCATGCCCACCAGTATTTCAACATTACATAATTTTATTGGGGAGGGAGATGCAATAGAAGCAAGTCTTCCAACAGCTAGGGGGCAGCAGCTGACCAACTTTTTCTTTACATAATTGCAATGGACAAGGTTTCTTCCTTCCTATTCTTACGAAACAACCCACAAGCTTTTAACTCAGAAATAGAGTTCCACAACATGGCATGGCATCATAGAGATGATCATAGAGACATCCATAAAGGGATGTCAAAAAAGGGAAAATACCGGCCACACAACTAAACCTTACCTCTTTGTAATATGCAACACACACAGGCTTTAATTGCATGGTCACATCTGCTGTCTTGACTTTTTTGACACCCGCCCTCCTCATTCCCCCCATGATTGCCTGTGACTGCTGCTTTAAGTTTATATCTGTAGTAGTTATCCATACAGAGACAAACAGACAGACAGACAGACAGACAAAGACAGAGACAGACAGAAAGAGAGATCATCTGTATCTAGATATAAATATAAATATAGATATATAAAATATTTAAACTTAAATAATTAAATCATTTTGAATAATGTGTCCTATGTCCTCTTCTGTGTCCAGTTTTTGCTGGTTGGAAAGTGAAAACCTTATCACCTGAAACCCTGGATATTCTCATTCAAAGCGCGACTGACTGGAGATTCTGATACAATCATTCCTATACTAATTCAGTCAGACAGATCTGCAAATCTTGGGGGGGAGGGTGTTCAAAAATTCACAATTTCTTTCTTTCTTTCTTTCTTTCCTTATTTATTCATTTATCCTTTTATTTATCTGTTTATCTATCTATAGTTATATATCTATTTCTATCCTATCCTATCTATCTATCTATCTATCTATCCATCTACTTCTATCTATCTATCTATCTATCTATCTATCTATCTATCTATCTATCTATCTATCTATCTTTATCGGAATAACTTCTCTGCAGCTGCTTCCTAGAAACTAAGAATGAATTGCTGTAGGCTGCTTTTCATACCGAGAATAAAATCCTTCATTGTAAAATCTCCCCCACAGACATTAAAGAAATGCAGCTTATATTAATTGTCCCTCCCCATCGCCCAGGTAATGATCAGTAAAGTGGGAGACAGTGTGATGTAGTAGTTCTGTGGTCAACTAGGAGCTCCAGGTTCTAGTCCAGTCTCACCCACAGAATTTGGGTGACTTGGGACATCCCCCTCTTTCAGCCCAAGCTACCCAGCAGGGTCACAGAGGCATGGGAAAGGAGGAGGAGGGAGGAGGAGGGAGCACCATATATGTCACCATGAGCTCCTCTACAAAAAGCAGGATACAAATTTAACAATAAAGAAAAATTAATGAATAAATGGTCACAGTATCCCACCAAGGGACAAGAGACTGTGTACTATGAGATCATTTAAGAAGACAATGTCAGCACAGTAGTAGCAAAATAATAATAATAATAATAATAATAATAATAATAATAATAATAAGCCACCCCTCGTGGCAACGAGGCTCAAATATATTGAATTTTTAAAACTATGTACAGTACGTCTGTCCATGACCAAGGCATTGTATGCATGCAGAACACACGTAGCAATGCGGTTTCTTATTCTTTTGTACCTTCCCATGTTCCTGCATCACCTAAACCTGCCCCACTGAGAACAGATTAAGTAACTTGGATCATTGTGTGGCACAACTGCACCCATTCCTGGATCAGGAGGGTTCACAGTCACTCTTGCCCTAGTCACCTCTAGCTTGGACCACCACAATGTGCTGAACAGGGGGCTGCCCTTGAGGACGCTTCAACACAATACAGTGGCGAAGGCAGTCATGCGTGCCTCTAGAATAGCAAATGTCATACCTCTGCTCTGCGAGCTGCATTGGCTGCCAGTTTGCTTCCAGGTCCAATTCAAGGTGCTGCTTTTAAAGCTTTAAAGACTTTCATGGCATGGGACTGGATTATCTGAGGGACTCCCTGGTTACATCGGTCCACCTCTTCAGATGAGTCAGGGAAGGCATGCTTTGGGTCCTGTCTGTGAGGAGATGAGCCTTCTCTGCCATGATTCTGTCTTACGGAACATTCTTCCCACCCCCCAAGTGAGATTAATTCCATCCCTGTTAATGTTCTGGAAGTCCCTCAAGATCTGGCTATGGTTTCAGGTATGGACTGGTGGAATGTAGTCAGGATTCCTAGGAGGGAGGGGCTGTATTACAGAGAAGCAAGAAAACTGTGAAGTTTAGTTTGATTTGGAGAGAAAAGGTTAAGAAGCCTCTTGCCCAGAAATTCTCAGAATATATGTTATATGTATGAGTGGTGTGCTTTAGTTTGGCAAGATTTCTATCTATTAGTGAGGAACAGTAAAGGAAACTGTTCTAAGTATCTCAGAGTGTCTTTCTTGATTTTTGAAGCCTGGCATCTGGAGTCACAGGGAACCAGGGACATTCTTAAATGTATTATATAAGATATAGCTGGTATATTCACTTTCTCCATGTACCTTGTGGTTTGTATATTTTAATTGTTAATATTTTAATTCTTAATAATAATTTGTATGTGTTTGTGTGTATGTGTGTGTGTATATATATGCTGTAAAATGACCTGCTTCCCCCTTCCCAAGGCTCTGAATTTGCTTGTTTCTTCCTTCCATTCACCGTTGATGCCTTTGGTACTGAGTCTTTTAATTTGGAAGCCTGACAACAGGGCCTCTTCATTTATAAATTGTGCTTCGTAAACTGCTTGTGCTGGAGACAGAATACATTAAGTTGAAATAAATAAAGACCAGCGTTATTCAAACGAAGAAAGCCTTGGAAATATTCAAATCACTGTATGTCTCTTGTATGTTAGATCCTTGATAGTAACCATAATGTTGTGGGGTTGAATCATATGACGTGGAGTTGAAGCTCAGACTGTAATGGGGCTAAAGATACTACGTAGTGAGTTTTTGGCAAAGACACAACTATGCTTCATCACTTCTGTGGGGAGAATGCCAAGGAAGCCAGAGTGGAAAGGAGTAGAAGGAAAAAACAATGTGGTCTGTAATGTGATGTCAATGACCACCTCATTTATTACATCTAAGGGCATAAGAAAGCAAATTAATTCCTCTGTCCCATCTACCACTGAACGGTCAGCATTAAAATCACTGGGTTAATGTGGACAAAGAAGCACAAGATGTTTGGTAGTATCAGTTATGATTTGAGATTTAGCAGGCTATAAGTCAGAGTAGAAGTCCTTCCTTCCTTCCTTCCTTCCTTCCTTCCTTCCTTCCTTCCTTCCTTCCTTCCGTCCTTCCTTCTTTGACTACTCTTTTCTTCTTAGAGATAAATTATTTGGCTCAAGGGTATAAAATAAGCAGCTTCTTTCAGAGGAAGCAGGGAGAAGAATTGGGGAGGGGAAGGGGAGAGCTTTTATTTACATTTGACAAGAGCTGCTGACTTTTAGGAAGCCAAAGACATCTTCTCCCATTTACAGATTCATTTCTTGCCTTTGAAATCTTGAAATTCTTCCCAAGCACACACATCTGATGCAATACCAAGTCTTGTGTGGCCTTGTGCGATCTAAGTAGGAGCTACTTCCCTGTTTTTGTCCACTGTCCACCAGTTAATTGTGGAGCCAGCTCCCCGGCACTGAAGCTCAGTTCTTTCCGTTGTGTAAAACTTCCTCGATCTGTTCCCCCCCCCCAACAAGGGTTCCATTTCAGCACCCCCGGGGAACACTGTTGGGGAAGGCTACCATCACGAGAAGACGGTGGTGAAGGGCTTTCTTCTCCCCTCCGCACCCCCCACCAAGAAAAGGGATCTTCTCCTGGGATTCTGTCTCCCTCCAATCGACTGCCTTCATTTGTCTGGACTTTCGCTGCAGTGTTAACACAACCTAATGACACTGAGAGGGTGCGAATGGGAGGGAGGGAGAGGGAGAGGGAGAGAGAGAGGGAGGAGAGAGGGAGGGAGGGAGAGGGAGAGAGAGGAAGGCAAATTGATAAGAGAGATTTAGCTCCTTCACGGTCAGGCTGCAAAGGGCGCTGAGATCCGTGGGAAAGAAAGGAAGGAAGGAAGGAAGGAAGGAAGGAAGGAAGGAAGGAAGGAAGGAAAAGGAAGGAAGGAAGGAAGGAAGGAAGGAAGGAAGGAAGGAAGGTAGGTTTGGCGTCGCCCTCAGGGGTCCCGCGCCCATACATAAGCCAAGTCTAAAGAGGCGAGGCGAAGTCTTCGCCGCAGTTTACCCGTGTCTGGGGCGCAGGGGCTGACTGCTTTTTTCTTCTTCTTCTTCCCGCTCCACTTTGGAAGCCCCAGCCCTCGGGGATTTATCTCGCCCATTGCTGCCTCTCGTCGCCGCGTCCTGCAAGATGTCACAAGCGACAGACAGAGGCGACGCTGCCGCCTGCAACCCTTCTCTGCTGAGCAACGCAAGAGGGTGAAGTCTCGCTGCTGCAGCTTCGGCTTCTGCTGAGAACTTGGGGGGGAGAGAGAGAGAGAGAAAGAGGGTGTCACACTGGGATCTTGGAGAGACCGATTCCCCCCTTCCAAGGGAAGAAACCGCCCCCCCCACACACACACACACACTCGACCCCCCTCTGGCTTGTCCAGCCACCGGAGGCAAAAGAAACAGCTCTTGAGCGCGGGTCTTCCTTCGAGCAGAGGCACCGGAAAGCTGGAGTCCACTAATGCGACGCAGGGGCGGTCATTCCAGAAGAAAACGGGAGCTCGCCTCTGGAGACTCGGGCAAACGCCAAGGAAGACGGGGTGCCTTTTGGTGGACGTGAATTTCCCCAGCCTTGGAGACAGGGGCGCTTCTCCTTAAGACAAAGCCTGGAGGATTCTGTGGCGGTTTCCCTTCAAAGCAAGTGAGTGGCCTCCTGCCAACCTCTTTCCCTCTTTGCTTTCTTTGCCTTTTTTGTGGGGATCTTATCCTTAAGGAAGGGGTTCCGGGGTTCGTTTTCCAGAGCAAACCGAACTGCTCGGCCAAAGTTCCCAACTTTTAGGACCCCTCTGCTTCTCCGTGCAACCGGTCTGCCGGAGAATCGAAGCAAAACAAAGGGCCAGGACGTAAACTCCTTCCTTCTTCTGGGCTGAAGAACATCCCTAGATGGCTGATGCCACTGATGCCATTTCTGAATAACACTTTTTAAGGGCCCAACCTTCTTTTTAATTCTGAATGCAACTCTCGCCTGCGTAGAAGAACCTTTTCTTTGCCGTATACAGAGACATACATGCATGCATGCATGCATGCACGCACAAACCCGAAGCCCTGTTTCTGGATAAGCCACAAGGAAAATATTTAAGGAGGAAAATGTATGGAGAACTTCTCAATTCAACTACTGCAACTGATCCTCACCTGATCGTTCAGACCAACACTCCCTATCCAGGGAGCACCCACAGACCTATCAGCTCCTCGGGTTTTTATATGTCCACAGCCAGAGTGTTAAAAGAAGGTGAGATCAATAAGCCGGACTTGGTGACATATGTTGTCCTGTTCTTCTTCCTGCTCTTGGCTGTCACGATCATTGTACTTTTTATTAACTGCCAGCTGAAACATTCTTTTTTTGCTACACTTCCTTATGATAGATCCCTGCGAGAAGCTAGGAGCCCATGGAAAACGCAGGCTGTCTAATCTTCGGCAGAGTAAGAAGGGAGAGGGGAAAGTCTAAGCCAAGCTTTGTTATGACCAGCATCTTGTGAACTCTCTTATGCAATTTGCCATGGGGGGGGGGGTGTAATAAAGCCAGCTCTATACAAATGAAGATATTCTCTTCAACTAACTTCAATGCAAAACATGATCTGAAAGAGTCCTATTTCACATACACATGCATACTTTTCTGCATGTTCAAGATAATGACAAAAAGATGTAAATAAAAAGAATGTGTATGGATTTTCACGAGTCAGTTATTATCAACATCCATGTATGGATCGGGGTGCGTATGATCAATGATTTCAGACTGCGTATTAAATGTATGGGTATACCTTTCAGCAGTTCAACTCAATGTATAGCAGTGCTTGCACTGATAAACAAACTCTGATGCATTCTTGCCATTCTTCGCATGGTTTATTTGTTAGTTGGTGTACGTATTTAAATAATGCCATTAAGCTGTGCTGATGAAACTGGGATCTGCCCTCTCTTCTTTATTTTTTGGCCTTTTGTCCTAAGATATACATATCTTTTTTGCCTTTCATCCTAAGATGGAAGGTACTAAAAAAGAAAGAGAAATTCTAAAATCTCAGATCTGGCTTGATGTCAGGTTTGGTTTTTTTAAGAAGTATTATTAAATCTTGTTTTATAATTGGATTCTTTTGAGATAATTATATTGTTGCTGCTGTTGTCTACCTATGATCCCCAAACATATTGAAAGTGATTGCTTGCACTCAGGAAGCAGAACTGCTGAAATAATGACATTTACATGTTATAAATCTACTATAAAATCCCATAAACCCCAGAATCTCCGAACACAATTTTACTATACTCTGTAGCTTAATCCCTTTCCCCACTGCTAAACTGGAATGCTACCTGCCCTCCTTGAATCAGCAGAAAACCAATTGGCATCAAAGTTCTATCAATTCTGATCCTTCTCCTGCTTCTTAATTTTTTTTCTATCTATTGGGTGATAAAATCTGAAAGATTTTACCTTGATTGGGATTGCAATGTGGGATAATTCTACTTTAATACTCGAACAATTAAAGATAACTTAAGGCTGCTAACCTACATAGAATAGGAACAAGTTCAAAGCAATAGAAACAAAATAAGGGCTATACATGACTATGGAGCCCTTGGTGCTCTCTGAACATGGTGGTTTAGTAATGTTTCATTACTAAACTGGGTAACATCATCAGTGCACTAGTTTCTTACACTAGTCTATGAGGACCCATAATTTAACCCTGAGCTACAAATATTCTCTTTTATCAGTACTAGGCATGGAGTACAGCAGGAAACTGTATTGTCCAAGCACATCTTGAAGAAAGCCCATTAATCAGAGTTATTGTCTATTTCAGTAGGTGCCTAACAGGCTAACTTAATTATAAAATGAAATAAATAATGACTCAAACCAGTAACTCAATTGTATTAAACCATCTACATTGGAATAGAATACTCGCCAATCTGAGCACTTGAATACACATCTGTTTACTCAGAACTTGAATTCAGTGGGGTCTACACATCAGCAACTGGATATAGGTTAATTAATACAAAATATGAATTAATTGGAGGGGAATTGCAACAAGCTAAAGACTACCTTACATTACATATAGAAAGAGGTAGAAGTATCTTAAGCTGAGCCATAAGTCTAAAAATCGTTTATATAAAAAATATAAACATTGCTGTTTTATCCAGCTACATAATTTTAAACTTTCAAAATTTAAGCATGTGTTTATTAATCCTATTCTCTACTTTTAATAGTTGTGGTTTACCTGTAACTACTGAGGATGAAACGATATGTTGCTTAATTGCCCTTGCCAACTATGTGCTTTTATTCCTTCCCTCTAATAAGGTCCATTCTTTCTTTTAAAATAGTTACTTGAATATTCAGTATTTCGAATGGCAATTTCAAGAATTAAAGAGCAGTTCTGCATTTGAGTGCCTTGCTGTCCACTCATCAGTTTTCTTTGGCAAGTTACAGTTATGGAGGGGCCTATCCCAGGACATTGGCACAGCTTTCACTGGTATCAATTCAGCTATTGCAGTGTATGTAAAATTAACATGAAGTGTGTGCCACTGAGCAATAACAAACATAAAATAGTTTTTCACTGTTGATTCATTAGAGGGAAACTGACTCATAACATTGAGTATATTGTGGCATCCAGAATTGTGAAGGCTAGGATTAACCCAAATAACAGGCCACAAAGGTGGGCATTCAGACATATAACTAATATTAGTAATAATAATAGTAAAGTTGGAAGGGACCTTGGAGGTCATCTAGTCCAACCCCCTGCTCAGGCAGGAAACCCTATACCATTTCGGACAAATGGCTGTCCAGTCTCTTCTTAAAAACCTCCAGTGTTGGAGCATTCACCGTTTCTGAAGGCAGGTTGTTCCACTGGTTAATTGTTCTAACTGACAGGAAGTTTCTCCTTAGTTCTAGGTTGCTTCTCTCCTTGCTTAGTTTCCACCCGTTGCTTCTTGTCCTGCTTCAGGCGCCTTGGAAAATAGCTTGACACCCTCTTCTTTGTGGCAGCTCGAGATATTGGAACACTGCTATCATGTCCCCCCTCGTCCTTCTTTTCATTAAACTAGACATACCCAATTCCAGCAACCGTTCCTTATATGCTTTAGCCTCCAGTCCCCTAATTATCTTTGTTGCTCTTCTCTGTACTCTTTCTAGAGTCTCAACATCTTTTTTACATCGCATTGACCAAAACTGGATGCAGTATTCCAAGTGTGGCCTTACCAAGGCATTGTAAAGTGGTATTAACACTTCACGTGATCTTGATTCTATCCCTCTGTTAATGCAGCCTAGCACTGTGTTAGCCTTTTTGGCAGCTGCAGCACACTGCTGGCTCATATTTAAGTGATTGTCTACTAGGACTCCGAGGTCCCTCTCACAGTTACTACTATTGAGCATGGTGCCACCTATGCTGTACTTGCGCATTTGGTTTTTCTTGCCTAAATGTAGAACCTTGCTTTTTTCACCATTGAATTTCATTTTGTTAGTTAGTGCCCAGTGTTCAAGTATGTCCAGATCCTTCTGTATCTTAAGCCTGTCTTCTGGAGTGTTGGCTATTCCTGCCAGCTTGGTGTCATCTGCAAATTTGATGAGTTCCCCATCTATCCCTTCATCCAAATCGTTGATATAGATATTGAAGAGCACTGGGCCCAGAACAGAGCCCTGGGGCACCCCACTACACACTTCCCTCCATGTAGATGCGGTTCCATTGAGGACCACACGCTGAGTACAGCCAGTCAGCCAGCTACGGATCCATCTGGTGGTGGTGCTTTCTACCCCACATTTTTCTATCTTGTCAAGTAGTAGGTTGTGATCTACTTTATCAATGCCTTATTGAAGTCCAAGTAAATTATGTCCACAGCATTCCTCTGATCCACTAATTTTGTCACTTGGTCAAAGAATGCAATAAGGTTTGTCTGGCATGATCTATTTTTGACAAACCCATGTTGGCTTTTAGTAATGACTTTGTTTGCCTCTAGGTGTTCGTTGATTCGTTGTTTGATTATCTTTTCCAGGATCTTCCCATGTATTGAGGTCAGGCTGATAGGTCTGTAATTTCCTGGGTCCATTTTTTTTTCCTTTTTTGTAGATGAGAACTACATCAGCTCTTTTCCAGTCCTCTGGTAGTTCCCCTGTGCTCCAGGATCTTTGAAAAATATAGTTCAGTGGTTCTGAGATCACATCTGCCAGTTCCTTGAGAACCTTGGGGTGTAATCCATCTGGTCCTGGCAATTTGAACTCGTCTAGGCTGGACAGGTGCTCACTTACCATTTTCTTGCCTATCTTAACTTGTGTTTCTGTTCTGTTTTTTATGGCACTATTTTCGATAAGTTGCTCTGTTTTTTCCCTTTGTGTAAAGACAGATGCAAAAAATGAGTTAAATAGTTCTGCTTTCTCCCTGTTGCTTGTCACCTTCTTGCCACTTTCACCCACTAATAGACCAATCATTTCCTTCACTTTTTTCTTGTTTTTTACATGTTGAAAGAAGCTTTTGTTTTGTTATCTTTGATTTTGGTCGCAAGCCTTAGTTCATTTTGAGCCTTGACTTTCCTCACTTCATCTTTGGAGGCTTGGGCTATTTGCTGATATTCTGACTTAGTTATGTGCCCCTTTTTCCACTTTCTATACTTGTCCTTTTTATCTTTCAATTTGTCAGAGAGTTCTTTATGCAGCCATGCTGGTTTCTTTTGAGAGCTGTTATTTTTTCTCTTTGTTGGTATTGTGCTAGACTGGGCTTTTATTATCTCATTTTTCAAAATTTCCCAAGCTTCTTGAGTTGTTTTCCCCTTGAGGATTCTCATCCATGGAATCCTTCCCAAGCCCTCTCTAAGTTTATTGAAATTAGCTCTCTTGAAGTCCAAGACTCTAGTTTGACTGTGTTCTATTGCTTGTGCTTCCATAATGTTGAATTCCAATATTGCATGATCACTTCCTCCCAGGGTTCCTATGGCTTCAACACCTTCTATCATTTCATCTCTGTTAGTGAGAATTAGATCCAAAATGGCTAATCCCCTAGTTCCCTGCTCTACTTTTTGGGAGACAAAGTTGTCTGCTAGGTTTGTTAGGAACCTATTTGTTCTTCCACTTGGTGCAGAGTTTGTCTCCCAGTTGATGTCAGGGTAGTTAAAGTCCCCCATTACTATTGTGATGTGCTTCCTACATACTTTAGTTAGCTGACTAGCAAAAAGTTCATCTATTTCCTCTGTTTGGCTGGGTGGCCTGTAATATACACTTATGGCAATGTCATTTTTTTCCCCTTTTATATTGACCCAAATGCATTCAAGACAGTTTTTATTATTGTTGTGCTCTATTTCTGTAGAGATGTAGTTATTTCTTATATAGGAAGCAACTCCACCTCCTCTTTTATTTGGTCTGTTTCTTTTAAATAATTTAAATCCCTCTAGCTGTGTGTTCCATGTGTGGGTTTCATCCCACCATGTTTCCGTAATGGCAACAATATCATATCTGCCCTCATTAACCTGAATTTCTAGTTCACCCTGTTTGCTGTTCATACTCTGTGCATTGGTGTATAGACATTTGAGTCCTTTATGACCAGCCCTGTGTTTACTTTCTACGTAACCTGTGTGGTGCCTGAGTTCCCCTATTGTCTTGCCACCTAATTGGTTAGTGCACTTTGTGTGGCACTCACTATTAGAGGCTTAATTTTGCTTGACAGAAAGGTTGGTATTCTTATATGCACTGATAGCCCTATAATTTTTAGACTGCTGGGGACAGGGTTGTTCTGTATCAATTAACTCACTGTCCCCACTGTTTAGTTTAAATTTTCC